TAGTTATTTAACAACTTTTTCGTTTCCTCGTTAAATTCAATATTGGAACAAAAAGTATTTAAGGAAACTTTCTCTTTCAAAGCTCCATCAGTTTTTTAAAACTTCGCTTACGTTAAAGTTAAACTCTTCAGAATGACAAGAATTTCGTTTTATTTCGCACTCATCTTGTGCATTTATGGTAAGCAAATATTATTTTTGATGACACCAAATGAAAGTTTTCTCTTCTTCAAACTTTTGTCATCATTGGTTTTGTTAATGCTAAAAGTGAAAACCCTTTCCCAGCATGCGATTTAGATCAATTGGCTCCTTGCTGATCGTTTATATGCCCAGATGGATTTCTGGAATTTCTTTTTATAGAATTATGCTGTTGTGCCATACCTTAATCACTTCAGTTTGACACTTTTTTTTAAAAGAAGAATTAATTTCATCATTTTCGAATTTTTTTAAATTCTTGAATGTAAATCTGATAAATATAACTTTTGAATATTCCTTAATGCTAAAAGTTGAAGCATTTTTAGAACATTTCATTATAATCAAGCGTTCCACTTTAAAGCTGCAAGATGTGCGAAACACAATTCATGTTGAATGCAAGAATTTTCAACACTCATCACTGCAAATTTGATGTCAATGATTTGTAAATTGGACAACATTTTAGGGAAATTCAATTTATCGTCATTGAACTGAATTAACCAGCATCTTTATTGTCAAACTTTACAACATTAGTGACGGTTGCCCAACACTAGTGACTCAACTTGAATGGAAATCAAACATAAACGAATGAACGGAATCATAAAAAGAGTTTACTGGTTGAATGCATTGAACAAATACATAATTTATGCTTGACGCTTTTATGACATCATTATGTGATATCATGCTGTGGGGTGACTTCAAATGCTTGATGTTCCAAGTTAATGTTTCTATCGCCATTTAACGAAACGTTTCCTAAATAGATTGTGACTTACTTGATTACTTTGAATATTGATAGAATCAAATATTTAAATTTTTCTTCCGAAATTTTTCTTCAATTACATGAGCTCAAATATCAATCAAATGGAATGCATGCTAAATCAACATAAGTTCCTTTGTCAGTTGTTTCGAACTACCAGATTTTACTTCATCCATTAATTAAATAAATGAGTTCGACGCAAATCTTTCTCTGTCTTGTAATTGGACTTTGAATCTAATTTAATGGTTGAATTCTTCTCACACGGTTTATATGCTTCTTACAATTTTTGTTTGTATTTCTGTATGAAGAAGAAAATGTTTCTTTCTTCATGCTTTTATCCCGGAAAAAATAACATGCTCAGCACACATTTACAGTGTCATGTTCACATAACAGCATCTACACAGTATGTGGTTTCATTAAATAACGAGTATCCTGGTGTTACTAATACACGGTCAGCATCTCCACGGAAAGCAAAGCAAGAAAATAAATGAAATGCATCATGCAAGCAAATCAATTTGAAACCAAAATGTTCAACACAGAACACTGCTGCTTTGTCGACATGGCATAAAAATGAAAGCAACACCAAAGGAAAATCTTTTTTCTTCTTAAAGCTTACAATTCTCTTCCATTTGGTTCACCTTTAAAAAATGCTAAATCATCTCTAATCTCAGAAGTTGTTTTTCACCGCAAAAAACATGCTTACGCGTAAGCAAACTCTACAGGGAAATTGAAAATAAAGAAAAACCTAAAGAGAAAGTTTTGTTCACATACATTCTGCTTATTGCTTCCTGAGCTTTGCTTGCGCTTCACATTATGCAAATTAACATCGAAACGAATCATCAAAAGTTTTACTTTCAACCCTTTTCACCCCCGTCTACGACCTTACGTGTTTCCTGCTTTACACAATGGCTGTTAAAAAATGTGAAATTTAATTTTTTTTTTGTTATGTTATATTTTTGAAAACTTCAAAAATACGATGATAACACTTATTAGCATAAAACCTATTTATGAACATTGTCTATGTTTACTTTTATCTCATCCCAAATCCACCTCATCCCATTCAGTTCAGAATTGAGAGAGAAAAAAGTTGATAGAAAATTGTTTTTTGTTGGTTTTAAACTTATGTTAATTGTTTGCATTCAGTTTATCTACATAAATAGCAACTTTTTATCCTCCTTCATATATTGTACTCGACCCCCCACCCGCTTAAAAATTAAATTAGGCAAAACAAACAGAAAAGTTTTTTAAGTTTGAAATAATTTTTTTCCGTGTACATTTTTCTTATTCATTTCCGTTCTCTTAAAAGCAATTGAAATGTACTTGAGGTTCCGATCTAAACATTTTGATACACTGAAAATACTTCAATGATTTGAATCAGGTAGGATTTTAATTGAATCAAATATTCATAGTTTTATTTATCATTCAAAAATTTAGAAGAAATCGAAAAATGTAGAAGAAAATATTTTTTTTCTTTTTAATAAAAGTATTAAACTGAAGTGACTATGGAATGGGCGCGCAACAGCAGCCAAAAGGACCGTCAAGTTTTCTGAGGTCAACTGGACAAGTGAACGATTCGCAAGTAGCGAATTCATTTAATCCACATAATGGGGCAGAACTTGGGGTATCACCTCCAGCATTTATAAAGCCAATGATGGCAAAAGCTTAAGAGAAAATTTTCATTTAATGTCATCAAAAATAATATTTTTTCTTACCATAAATGCACAAGATGAGTGCGAAATAAAACGAAGTTCTTGTCATTCTGAAAAGTTTAACTTGAACGTAAGCGAAGTTTTAAAAAACTGATGGAGCTTTGACGAAAAAATTCCTTTAAACACTTTTTGTTCCAATATTGAATTTAACGAGAAAACGAAAAAGTTGTAAAATAACTATTAAAATATTTGTATTATTTATATTTAATTAATATTTTTTTTAGCATCACGAATGTACTTAACATGCCACTATTATTTAATGAGAAATCGTGATAATATTTACATGATGAATGAGCGAATTCAATGCGCCCTAGAAATGCAAAAATACCTTGCGAATCCCAAAGGAACTTCTAGAAAAAAGTAACAATTAATAACCACATTAAGAAAATTTGTGAAAGCTTAAAAAAAATCTTTCAGCACAACTAAAATATTTTATAAGTGAGACAGTCGATAGTAAATATCGTAGAAAGAGAATTTATGAGTTACATAGAAGCCCCAATAATAATACGCGATTTCTACCTATTTATGGTTCAATATCAAAATAATTGGTGGCATTTTACATGAAAAGAATTTATTACATTATTTAAGAAAGCTTTAAATAAAATTGAGTCAGGATAAATTGAAAAAAGCTTGAAATTTGTTCGAGATTTCGATTTTTTCGAAACACTAAAAACATTATTTATATATTTTTGATGAATAAAATATTCAAAAATTTTATTTATCAGATTCAAGAATGTAAGAAAATTTGAAGAAGAAGAAAATATATTTTCTTTTTAATAAAAGTGTTCTACTGAAGTGACTAAGGAAAAAAAATACAACAGCAGAAACCTCCTCCAGGAACATTTGTCCATCCATCTGGGCAAGTAACAGTTTCGCATGGTTCGAGTTCACCATTATTACACCTTGGGAAATCATTTTGGACGTCACCTCCGGCATTTACATAGCCAATGAAGGCAAAAGCTTAAGGAAGACAAAACTTTGATTTAATGTCATCAAAAATAATATTTTCTTACCATAAATGCACAAGATGAGTGCGAAATAAAACGAAGTTCTTGTCATTCTGAAAAGTTTAACTTGAACGTAAGCGAAGTTTTAAAAAACTGATGGAGCTTTGACGAAAAAATTCCTTTAAACACTTTTTGTTCCAATATTGAATTTAACGAGAAAACGAAAAAGTTGTAAAATAACTATTAAAATATTTGTATTAT